GCCCCTGCAGGTCTCGAGACTCTGACCGGCCTGAAAGCGCGCCTGATTCGCCGCGTAGCTTTCGGGTGTGTGATGTGCGGTGTCGATGTGCGGGAGGCAAGCTCGTAATCTGAAGCTGAACGTGGCGACCTGGTAGTTTGCCCGGTAAGAGATTCTGAGACGAGCTGATGAGACGTTGGCGTCAGATCAAGGCAAAGTAGCAAGCAAGGGAATGTGCCTCATGAACGATGGTGCTGGAAATAGATTGAAGCTGTGTGCAAGCTGTGCGTCTCATCTCGTGGGAGCATTAGACGATTTTATGTCTTGCTTGCAGCCGCTGTCTATGTCTATGTTGCTTCGGAGGGCGCGCGCGCTTCCGTCTCATGCCATCTGCCACCTTTCTTACGTACCAGACACCTGACTCTGGTTCGCCGTTGAAACATCACTACCAGCGCTTACACATGGGCCTTCCCGTGAATTGCGTATGCCTATCACGTTGCCTACATCAACGTCTCAACTGCTCCATGGCCGTGTGCTCGGCGACCCGCCCGTCTAATCTCTGTTACACTGTACATAGCTACCTGGCCAATGACCGTCTCCTGCTGTATACCATCTGAAGCCACGCGCGAACGCTGCGGCCGTGTGGCCTCGAAGAATACTCAGCTATGCCGCGTACCAACAAGGGTAGTAAGTTGGTCCTTGGGTGGCCTGGGTGGCTCAACCTACGAGGGCCTGCAGCTGGCTGTTCTGGTGTATCTCATCCTCTCTAATAGGGCTTACTGCATCGCCGACCGTGATGGTGGGGTTCTGCCTCAGAGGAGATGGCACATTGTCCCAGGGTACATGACAAGTATGCTCTCCAAAGTATACGCGACCATCAAAACGTCGTGTTTTGGAGAGCGTTACAAAGGGTTCCTGGTTTCTTTCGGCGGTTTGCTGGTCAATGCAGACCATTTGGCATCTGCGACACGCTCCTAGCATCTCAAAGTACTGATGGCCAATCTGGAGGTAGCGCCAGTCGTCTTCCGCATACGGGTCTTCCAGCCCAGGCGGGTACGCTGGGTTCTCCGCAACCACGATGTTGGCTCTGAACACCTCTGCTTGCGCCGCTTTACCGCCCTCTGCCTTGATCAATTCATTAAGGCGGTTGAGGCTCGATCGTGATATAGTAAGGATGGGACTCTCATTTGCTAGTAAGATTGGCTTCGAAACGCACGCGCCGGGCGTAATGGGAACCGTTTCTGGGAAAGCGCCGGGTACTCGCATAGCGCCCGCCTTCTGGTACTTTTGCAGATGCGCTTTGGAGTGTCTTGAGGTGTCGCTCCCGTTGCTAGCAGCAGGGAAGCGTGCAAGGTGACAGGCCACCCCAAGAGCCCGCGTAAAGAATGCCGATACGTCGCTCGACCTATAGGTCTTTGCTTCGATAGAATCTCCGCAGACCTTGGCTCTTGCGTCTTTGTATATACCTCCGTCGGTGAACATTCGCGGATCCGCGGAGAGAGGCACAGTGATCTCATGCATATCTGTTGTATTCTGCAGAGCGCCTACTAAGCTCACCCGTAGAAGTCCTTTCTCGAGGTCGATACTGGGACGTATGAGAGCCATCTTTGGGTAGCGCTTTTGACTCAGTGCGGCTCCGGTGCCCTGATGAACCAAACACCACTCGCGATCCCACGCAAGACCCTCTGGGCGCACCTCCCATGCACTACCGGGCGGTACGCTGAACCCCGCACAACTCTTGATAGGGTAGACAGATAGGCTCTCCACGTGCAAGCGACTTTGAGTTGGTGGCTCTACAGCAGCAGACATCATTGGAGACGTGTCCACCGGCTGGCGTTCCTGAACGAAGAATTCGCGCACGAAGCCAACAAACTTGTCCACATCCGATAGGGTACTCATCGCTCCAAAGCTGACGCGTATCATGCCGGTCGGCTTCGCACGCAGGATATCATTATCGTTACCGCACCGCTGCCCGGCAGAAAAATTCTCTCGCATCTCCCAGGGTGCCAATCCTAGCGATGAGGCAACACCACCGGGATTGCAGAGTCCGCCGGTCCTGAGTTGGATGTTCTTAATTGCAGCCAACTTCTCCACCTCTGCATTGCTCACCCAGCCTCCGCATTGGTTGCGAAGATTGAACGCAACAACTGGGCCCTGGGTAAGCGAATCTCCGTAGTTGGAGGCTGGGTCTTTGTACACGTGGCAGACGTCTTCGCCATTCCCGTGCCGTAGCGACGAAAGTCTCTCGTACAGCTGCCGGGCGAGATAGGTGGTGTGGCTCGAAATCCTGTCCAATGAGGTGTAGAGCTCCTTGTGGACGGCCATGGCGCTATCAAGCGCCATAATACTATGTATCGGAAGAGTGCCGTCTTCCAACCTTTCATGTAATGCGTCCGCCTTCTTGGCATGCCATTGCTCTTTCAAGCACACGACCATTTCGACTGTGCCGCCACCGAAGTAGCGTCGCTTGTCGAAAACCGATGCTGATGCTTGCCTGACTATCAGGGCGCCCAGGTCGGGAAAGCCAAATATCTTGTACAGGCTCAATACCGTAAAGTCGGGGGCCTCATCAGGATTCCCGAGGTCAAGAGGCGACGTTGAGACAAGTGCCGCAGCATCCAACAGGGTGTACACACGCTTTCTTTCGCCCGTACGCATGCGGTGTGACCAGTCCAACGGCAGGCGACGCCCGTTCATGTTGGACTGCGCTGGATATGCAAACAGCTGTGGCGACCCAACTCCAGTGTCTTGGGCGTCAATCCAGTCATTGACCTCGCCATCCGAAGCGAAACATCGATGCTCCTTCGCTGCCTCGCGTACCCCTATCAGACTCGTATGCGCGTCCCTGTGATAGCCGTACCAGAATCCTTCGTCGTGATCCCGGAATGCATCCATGACCAGCTTGATCCCAGCAGTGGCGTTGGCGACAAAGACGACGTCAAACTCTTGGGGGTCGGCGTTGAATATTTGTAAGAGGCGCAGCCGCACATCTTCGATTCGCCGCGTCGTCAGTTGGGAGGCATTGGAGGCGGAATGGGGGTTGCCGTAGAGATTCGCGATCATGTCGGCCGAGAAGCGCTCGATCAGCGATTTGGAGTAGAGCGTGGTGCCGGCATGGTCCAGGTACGTCGTGTCTGATAAGTAAGCATAGGCCCACGAGGATACTCTACCGACTTACCCTCCAGCATGGGATACTCCTTGGCGCGCAGCTCTTCGATGGCATTGTTGTAGCTTGCATGTGCTGCCTCGCTCATGGTGCTTGGTGTGTTGCGTGGCATCGGACACGCGGGACTCGTCAGCCGTATCCGCCTGGAGCGAAGAGAGAAGTAGGAGAGTTTGCGAAGAAACCCATCTGGTCGCAAGCAGGCGTTGTGTTTGCGAAAGTGGGGGACACGCGATGGCGAACGGTCGGGTCGTGACCTTGGACCCTGCAAGACTGGAGATACGCGGCCGGCCCCGGTCGCTCGGAGAACGCCATCACATGAGCCATCGACTTTCACATCCACGTTCCATCGCAAAGCTTAGTCATCTCTTTTAGGTCTATCTTCTTTTTCTTTTCCCTCTACTCACAGCTCTGCTGCAGCCCCCGATCGTTAACACAGGAAGCCATACGACTTGCGCGCCCTCCGGAATGCGACACACAGGATCATCGGACGCCAGGCAATGCATCGGCTATGAGTTCGTATGCTATCATCTTCATGCCAGCACCACGATTATTGTGTGCCAGATCCAAGTCTGATCATCTTCTGCTATCTCCTCGGCAGATCTCGCATCACGAGGTCACGCTCTTCAGCATTTGAGCAGAATGCATGTGCGACTTGGAGCAGCGGTCTATCTGGCTCCCTCACGCTATCAACATGATGCACACCGCGACCTCGCCTTGAACCCCCGTGGCTCACTGTGGGCGCGCATCGACGAGCGCGTCCTAACAAACCATAAAGTGAAGAATTACCAACGATCCTACTGGAGCAGTTGTGCAGATCATGGCGTCCTCTAAATCAAGGAAGCTCAGATGGTGGTCATTGTAGGCTGCTTGTGACAATACCTAGGTACACGCCTCGCCGCAGCAAGAGCTCTTCAACCACCTTGGCGCAAGGCATACTTGCTTGACCCAAACTTTCCGGTCTGTACAAGGGACATCTTCACCGTCTAGGGACTGCGGCTGAAGGTTTATACGACCTACAGCACTATTTTCAATATTGTGTAGCGACCAAGATCATAGCTAATTGGCCAATCCGATTTTGGCCCCCAGGTACACTTCACGTGTTTCCTCGCATTTCTCGCATCGTCCATGGGCCGCCAATGGGACTGTTGTGGCGTTGTACACTTCATTCTCGTGGCGTGCCGTAATAAGGCCTATTGGCGAAGTTCCTGGAACAACGACATGTCGCCAAGCATGATATTGCACAACCGCAGCAGTGGAGATGAAGAGCTGACATCTGCGATCACGGAAGGCTGCCAGGCAGGCTGTCAGGTAGGCTATGTTTACTGCTCTTTTGGCGGCATGGTGGTATAAAGTCTGGGGTTGCTGAAGGCTGAGAAAGCTATTCTGTTGTTTCACCAGCGGACCTCAACAGCCATCTCAATTGTCATCACCATCTCTCGTTTTCGCAAAGAGTCGCTACTAGCAATCATGCTCGTTCATTCGCTAGTGCTGTTGAGCGCTTTCTCGTACTCCGTATTCGCTGGCAAGGCGGGACCTCTGAAAGGAGCGCCTGGCGTTTCTCCTCGTCAGCTTCAAGAGTGCAACTCACCTGGATGGATTCCAGTATGCCCTGGTGAATACCCTTTCCAATTGAGCCACACCCGAGACTAATACTATCAGGCGATCTCCCATGTATCCCACCTACTGGTACATGCTGCACAGGCGACTACTATCATCTACCCGGCGAGACCTGCCCTGATGGATACTCTGAAGTTCCTCGCATTGACCAAAGCGATCCACCCTCTGCTTCCATTACACCAGCACCATCCGCAACCTCAATCCCAGATCCTGTTGTTGTCGACTACTCGTGGTACACCTACTCGTTGACATACTACTATACCTATTACTACTACTATTACTTCGAGGCTTCCTACGAGATCACATCCACGGAAACGACGTACTACACCACCTTCTCGCTGACAGCATCGGATGTGGGCGCCGCCAATTCTGCGGCCGAATCTATCAGTGCCTCGATCAGCGTTGCTCTAGAGACACAGTCAGAGACGCCTACGGTTGAGGCAACACCACTACCGAGTTCGACTTTGGCCCCTGCATCAACGTCTAGGATTGCCTCGTCATCATCAAGGGCGACCACATCTTCAGAAGATGCAACTTCCTCGGAAGCCGCTACATCAACTACCATTAGTGCATCGCCTAGTACCTCCACTCCAGCAGAATTTTCCGGCGCTGCTGCCAACCTTCGCGTTGGAAGTGCCTCAGGCTTTGGGGAGATGTTCTTATTTACGATCGGGGCTCTTGGACTAGCTCCCGGCATGCTGATGCTTCTTCTTTGAGCATGGTACCACGAGGGAGCTGTGGCGTGGAATAATGAGTCTTTGTTATGCGGAAGTTCAGAACACAGAGCGATTGTGGTTTTAGGATGCGTCACTTTGCCTCGTTGCTTGATGCGATCTTTCTGGCGCGTGTAATGTGGGAAGAGGTCTTCGAGTCAAGTCTGAAGCTTAGACGAGTGGTCAATTGGTTGATAGTGAACGTTCCCATGATCCTACAAGTCAAAGTCGTTATCCTGTGTAGTGTTTCACATGTCATTTTTCTACCGTGTACCATTCAAATGCCTTGTAGTCATCCAACGCCTGCTGGGTGGGAGGGTGTCAGTAGGCATCTGCTCAAATTCTATCGTTGTCTCCGTTGTCCTCGTGATACCATCGTCCTTGATGTTTGAATCTTCGCTCGTTTTATTCATTCCTCTTCCGCATGAGGTTTTCCGTTCTATCACCGGCCTACGCCTCTCCATCGAGAGGAGCGAAATTTGACCGCTAGACTCAATCAGATTGCGATCACTTCGGCCATTAACGGTGGATCCACTGCTAACTGTACGCCGATAGCCGCTACCATACGCTTCCGGCTGACTAAAGTCAAGAGATGTGTTGCGGAGAAGTGGCCGTAAGGCGGGAACCGAGGCGGATATGATAGCGACGTTTACTTCGATCTGTGACAGAAGAAGGATCTGAATCACGGTCAGCAACTCGACGAGCAGGGCTACATTGGAAGTTACTCACAAATATCGAATCGTACGATATATCTCTGGTGACATTGTACAGCCATAGTGCATAAACCCTTACTATTGACGCAACGACGGCGATGCCTCCAACCCCGAAGACGCCGAAGAGCGCAAATCGCCGCTTCGAATCCAGCTGTAGTTTCCAAAAGGGTTTAAACGGTAGTAGAAAGATTGTGATATCAGTAAGGATATTGATGCCTCCAAGTGCCAAGTAGGTAGCTCGCAAATTGTTGCATCCCTTTGGGAACGTAGGTGACCATGCTTGTGATGGCTTGGGTCTACACTCGAAAGCCTGTAGGAGTTAGTGTCATCTCTAGTTGAAGCAGAGGAACGAGGAGCTCACACTGACGAAGAGAACCACGATTGTATAGATCGTGACAAATGCAGCTACAGACCACACTTTGTACCGGAATTGTAACCGCTCAAAGATACGATGGTACAACGCCAATATACTAGCCTTGACAAAGAACAGTGCCACAGGATACACTAATTGGTAGAAATAGAAATGCTTGAGTGTGGGGACCCGCATAGAGGGCACATCCAAGTGCTTCAAATGTTGTCTGTCGTAGTCAGCAACGCACATACGCTTGCAACCATCGAACCATACCCAGTACCCCAGCTGATATGAAACCCATTCATAATCGCCATGCCAATCGTGACCAGAAGGGCAGCAACCATAAAGTAGTCGTCGAGTCCAACATTGCGGATGCGAAAGATTCGACAGTAAAGCCTGCGTAGATGTTAGCAAACAGTGTCTTACTACTACCCAAGGATGTCGCCAATGCTGCAGGTACTCGCCTCAGAGCTACGGCAATTGTTGATAGCAGGACTAGAACTCCAGTCGTAATCAGGAACATCGGCTGCCTAGATTCATGATCTGCACTAAGATTCGGCCCGATCATACCTGGGCAACGGCCTACATACAGTAGGGCAGGAATGGCCGTTGTAATGCAAGGCAGATGGCATGTACCTGAGTATATTCGAGAGCTAAAACGTGCTCCGTCGGACACATAGACGGGATCCTTCACTATACATATGTATGTCAAAGTCCGATGCAAGCATCGCTAAATGGCTTGTGGCCGACCAGAAACGGTGATGCTCCAGTGCTGTTGCGTCAGGGCGGCCATCCACCAAAACTGATGATTTAGCCACCGGGGAAACAGTGAGAAGAACTCGATTCATGTCCGTGTGTCGGAGTTCAGGCGCGCAACGCTGAAAGAAGAGAGAGCGGCGTCCTTGCATCCTTCGTGTGGTCGGAAGATCACGCTGCGTGATGTCCGTCCTGACACGATTCAAGAAACAGTACCGAGAAACCCTGGCAACACGCTGCGGCTGCGCAATCTCACCATCCCTGTAAGCGCATCTACGCCCGACACACCGTAACGATCTACCACACACAACCTCTGTGACTACGGAGGTGGCAAGCCAGGTTCGAATGAGCCTCCGGATGTCTTCCGGTCTTTGCGGGCCACTCGCCCCGTACGCCGGGGTCCTCCAGACTGGCAAGGCCAGTAACAGGACTCCGGCGCAGGATACAAGTACTCGTAAATGGCGTGCATCGCATGGAATTGTCCTGCTGTATGCAAACCCAGGTAGCTAGCCAAGGCAAATATGTCAGCAACAATATACAGGTACCCAAGCAACGGGCTACGAGATTACGCCTGGTAAAGCCAAGGCTGCACATTGTAAGATCAAAGTTAGCAGAACGGTTCAGATATTGCGCCTTCGTGTCTTCCAGGTACAGAGTACACCGATGTTATGGGTTCCTAGGTTCAGTCTCGCCTGCATCAGGTATGGATCATCGGCAGTTGTGCCTGCCATACTCAACAATGTCTCCCATGCAACCGCGGGAGAAAGGTCCAAAAAGACTTTAAGCGATCTGGTTGCGCAATTCCAGATCGGCTGTCGGCAGCCAGATCGCGGAGCCTTTGTATAAGATAGATGGGTGTTGTTAATCATCAACCTCCGTCAGCTATTCAGGTGCCTACTTCGCTGTAGGTGTACGAGAGAGCTCTTCGGTACCCAGACACTGCAGATCCTGCAGAACGTTTCTGTTCTCGAAGGCATCGCACGTGTGACAGTTCCTACCGTCATCCACGTTTCAGTTTCCAATCTTCGGATCGATCGTCATGCGTCTTCTCGAACTCCTCCCTGTCGGGTTAAGCTTGTCACAATGGTCTGCAGCTGCAGCGTTACCTGCAACTACTGATTTGGGTTCATGCAAAAATCCACCCAAGAGGGTGGAATGGTAAGGTCATCAAAAGCTGTACGATACCCGATGTATGACTGATGCTTCATGTATAGGAGACAATTGTCAGAACCACAGAAGAAATCCTACATCGATGCCGTTCTGTGTTTGTCACATACAAAGGCCAAATCCGGCATTGAAGGAGCTGTAAACCGATTCGATGATCATCAAGCTGTTCACATGCTCCAGAAGCCTCAGATCCATTGGGTTGTACGTTGAGCCCTATTGGCCCAGGTTCGATCTTGCGCGCTTATACTTTCAGGGTCACTTCCTTCTATGGCACCGTTACTTCACGGCAACCTACGAAAAGGCACTGAGGGATGAATGCGGATATACTGGAGGCCAACCGTAAGTTGCTAGCCAGTCCAAATATACCCTCATGACATCAATGGCTTTCAATCTAACCAATGCGCAGATACTGGGACTGGTCTCTGGATGCCGAACCGCATAACGAATCATCCACCCGTCCGTTTGATTCAGAGATCTTCAATCCAGACACAGGTTTTGGTGGCAACGGCTCGCCCGTCGCAGCTACTCCTGCCCAAAATCCCTTGAACATTACAGGCAACACCGGTGGAGGATGTGTAATGAACGGGCCATTCGCGCCTCCCCACTTCACAGTGAACGTGCCCACTCCACACTGCTTGAAACGAGACTTTGTTCCGTGGATTGTCAATCGAATGGCAGACAAACGACTGGTCGAAGAGGTCCTGGCACAACCGGATTATACGAGTATTGCAAGGACAGTTGAGAAGCAGCGAAGCTTTGATCCTCCCAACATTCATGCCAGTGGCCATTTTGGTATCGGTGGCATCCTGGGTACCATGGGAAACGCGGCGGAGAGCCCTGGTGGTGAGTACCTGGTTCTCATTCTTTCTGACAACACCCATCTGCCACATAGACATATCACTAGGAAACATGCTGACATATGGCAGACCCACTCTTCTACCTCCATCATGGCAACATTGACCGCATCTTTTGGGAATGGCAACAGGAAGATCTCGAGACGCGTCTCAATCAAGTCGGTGGGCCCATTACGCCTTTTGATTACAGCGGCAAGAACGTTACATTGGACTTTACCATCAACATTGGCTTGTTAGCAGGGAATGCCACGCTCAAGGACCTGTTGAATACAGAAGGAGGGACGCTCTGCTACACGTATTAGATAGGCTCAATCCAGTTCTTCCGCACAGGTTGCTTCGCTTTCCAGTAGTGTTGAACTGATGCACTCGCCTTGCAGGACGCTGTGATCCCTGTCATGCATGCATCTGGGTCTGGAGGAAGGGCTTCCCGGTCCAGTCACGTCGCAGGACCAGCTGGGCATGGCAGCATCGATGATTCAGGTGGGCTTTGCATTTCCTTGGGCGACATATCTGACTGAACACACATTCGATGATCCAGAATTGGCTATGATTGAATCGAAGGACAACCGACGAAGCAACAAGTTCGCATGTCCGTATGCTGTCCTCGGTGCGGGCACCCACTGACAGTAGGCAGACTAGCTCAGTAGTGTTTCCGACTTGTAAACTGGCATGTTGTCTTCTGCTGAGCATCCGTCGCTGTGCTGTCGTCTTGTGTGTAGGGAGATGTTGTTTTCGCCCGACGGCTTGGGCCACTACCGGCTCCAGAGGCGTGGCATGGCAGTTTCAGTCCCCCTACTCTATACCACCGCACAGGGCTTTGAACTCTGCAAGCGAACCAGTTGCCTGCCATCCAAATTCAAGCATCTCTGAAACGTGGCCTGACTCCTCAAAGCTGTCTCACAGCGTATCCTTCTCGCGAGCCTCCTTTTCGGCAACCTTCTTCGCCCTCTCCGTCCTCTCTTCCCTCAACGTGGTAAACACCCAGAACCACGCCGAAACCTCCATGAAGCCCCATGTGAATATGAAGCTGTTGTTCAGACTAGCGCCAGCGTGCATTCTGAAGTCCATGCCCCTTGGTGCGAACATGCCACCTTCTTTGAAGACATAGCAGTATGAGGTGAGGCCGAAGAGGAAGAGGAGAC